TATCTATTAGATCTGATTCCAATAATAATTCAGGTACTATATTTATATTTAATCCATCAAAATTATCCTTAGATTATTATATCATTCTCATTTCATCAAGTCTACTTATCATTGTTAAAATACTTTTCCATCCATTCTCTCTTAATCCATTTCCAATTAAAGGAACAATTTGCAAAATTTATTTTATTAAATTGATATGTTTATTAGATATCTAATTTAATTGATTTAGTCTTGTAGCCTTTAATAATGGATTCATGTAATCTTATAATGGAATTGAAAAAAAAGAACATAATTTAATAAATAATACTAATCCCTAAATACATTGATTTGAAGCTTACTCCATTTAATCATTATTAAAAACAAATAAAAACATTTCAAATGTAAACTTTCCTATACATTCTAAAAATGGTTTTATTAAATAAGCCATATCTTAATTAATAATCTGATAAATAGTTTCATTTGAATCTTATTTTGTTTTAATTAACTCACTTCCTTCTTTTAATAAAGCTTCCTTTTCTCTTTAAAATAAATCCTATTTCTTTCTTATATTTTATGTAAGAGATTCTTTTATAAATACACGATTTTTCTCTTTTTCTCGTACTGCTAATGGTTATTTAAGTATAGAATTATAAGTTTGAATTAAATATTCTTATGGTAAATCATCACCATCATTGATAGATTTAGCTAACTTTTGAAAATCACTTAATTTCATTTTTTCTGCAACTGAAGGATTATGTAAATCTGTCTATAACATAACCAATAGATAACAATATGTATATATACTTCCACTAGATTTAAAAGCTGAATTTGGATTTTCTTTGTAATACCTATCTGAAAATTTTTACACTACTCTATCCACTTGCATTGCTTCTCCTGGTAATGTAAATTAATCTAAATAATATCTTAATGCCTATTCAACAGTCAAATCTTTGAATTTTAACATATCAGTAAATTCACTTAAAACTTTTATATTTAATTATTGATGTCCTCCTAAAAATGCTCCAATTGCATTTTTACTAATTTATTATTAATTTTCTTTTAAAAACTTAGCAATTTCTTTAGCACTAAATTAATCAACAAAATTTACTCATTTTAAATGATTTGAGCATCTAATAAATATTTGATTCCTTTATCAGGATTCTTTTTAAATATTTAACATCCTTTCATAATTTCTTATTTTAATTATCTTTGTATTTCAATAGGATTTATATAAATTACAGTTGTATTATCATTAATATTTGTATTTTAATCATCCATTTATGGTGATCCAATCTCTTCAGAAGGTGAAATGATAAATTAATCAAATACTTTATTTAAACCTTCAATTATATAAGACATAGCTTTGATAGCCAAATTTTTTAAAAGAGTTTCTGATTATGTTTAAATTTAATATTCTGCTTTTTAATAAATAGAAATTACAATAATTTCATATAAAGTATGAATAATTTTAGACATTAAACATTCATGTTTTGTATGACAATCATAATTTATATAAAATTCCAAAGCAGTTTTTGGTCTTTCTAAAATACTACATAGACTCTCAAGAGCAGTTTGTTTATGTAAGACATTTGAATTAGCACTTAAAAGTATATTCAAATAAATTTAGTTAATAAAGATTGATATTTCATGTTTAATACTTTTTCTCATGATAAAAACTAATCGTTAAAATATTCTGAAACTAAATTGATATAAAGTTTTTTCTGTTTCTAAACAATATTTTAATAATTAATTGCATAATCTCTCTTTAGTTATTTAAATGAATTTTTCATTTTAACTTAATATAAAATCAGGAGTTTCAAGAATATACAATAGACATTCAAGAATGATTTATTAGTTTTTAGCTTATTATAAAGTAGTTTTATTGAGTAATAGATTGCATAAACTATCATATAATTATAAAGCACAGTCAAGATTTTCTTCATATTATTTGAATGCTCCATTATAAGTATTTTAAGCTTATTCAACATATTCTTAATGTTATTTTTTGCATATGAATGAACAAATAGGGACTCTATAATCTTTACAATAAAGATTAGCTTATTTTCTACACATTATACAATAACCAAAATAACCTGATGGTTGTTATTTTTCATTTAGAATATTAGATTAAGGAGAGAAATTAAGTGATTTTTTATTTAAAGATACCATATCAACTAATTATAGCATAATTAATTGAGTTAATTTTTAGAGTGAATCTTCTTTAATAGACATTTTACGTTTGTTTCTTTATATAGTGAAAACCTAATAAATTGATAATGAATTTTATTACTTCTACTTCTACTGCTTAGAATGTATAATTTATAATTTAATAGAGCATATTTTTAGCATTTCTATCAACAATTTATGTTCTAGAACCTGTACGAGTGTAAGAAAAGATAATAGTTTTAATAATTCTTGTAAGATTTTGTGATGTTACATAACAATATGGATTCAAAACAAATGTAACTAACAATTTTAGACCTTAAATAATTATCTCATCCTTATCAAGTAGACATGATGTAACAGAATTAATTAATGCATCTATGATTGTCTATTATAAATATGATACATATACTTTTTTTTGACCTTTATAATAATTAGAATCATTAAAAAGTTCTGAAAATTCTTCGGTATAGAATTCTTATGAAGTGTCTTATATTCTTCCATCAATAAAGCCATTTGAAACTAATTTCTAGTTGATTCAATGATTAATTGATTACAAATAATATAGATAAAGTTAATTATGTTAGTTTAGTTTATCTCATATTGAAAGTTAATCTGAAAACCACCATATGTTTTCCCAATTTAGGGAGGCTTTCATATTTGACAAGATCTTAATTTCTTAACTCCATAAATACCAATCATTTTGTTTAAAAAGTCTTTGAAAGAAGGATACTATTTTGGAATATTCTTTCTAACTTTATCCATATAGTGTAACAATATTTCTTTATACTTTGATAACATTTATTGTCTATTCATTAATAAATAAATTATGGGAAATTGTGTGACCAATAGAACCAAAATCTCGACCAATCTAGATAAACCATAAAAATAATACATACATTAAGCATTCATTAGATAAACTCTAACAAATCCTGAGTATTATTATTTGGTACTCATTCTTTAGATCACGAAACCAATTATTGTTATTTGAAGAGAATTTCAATGAAATATTTGATGACATTCCATATTTAGGACAATATGCTTATTGGTTTTTATTGGGATTGTAAAATAATGAATTAAAAGGAATTGAATATCAAACAATCTTATAATTTTCAGAAATATTTATTTTGGGTAATTCTCATAATGAAATGTTAACATTACCAAATAGAGTTTCATTAATAATAGCAATTATTATACTTTTTGGTAATTTAAATATTCAAAATGCACTTAAAGAATTTTCATCAATGTAAATAACTTATCTTTTAACTTCTAAATGTTTATAAGTATTTATATCAATGATGATAAGAAAATCAAATATAAATGAATTACCTATTAAATCATTTGTAGATGGTATATTTTCTAGACTTGATGTTAATATACCAATTTTATAATTTGTAAAATTTATAGATACATTTATGCCATCATTAGAAGAAATTATTGAAGATTATTATTATGATAAATTTCTAGGTGAATAAAAACTATTTCATTCTCCTCAATTAAATAATCCATCACATATTTTAAATCAAGAATGGTTAGCACTTATGTATTTATGTTTCATGCATAAAGATACTAGTAAATTAGAATTACTTTATTCTAATGTTCTTAATGATAATTCCTTTGAATTACTAACTAATCTATTAATTCATTAATCATCTAGTTATTTATTCATTATATAATGTGAACATGCTGCCAGAAAATATATATTTGGAGCTTATACTAATTTTGAATGGAAAGATGATGCATTACCTAATGGAAGTAAAGAAGATTGTATTTTCTAATTATTTCCATAATTTAGAGTATATAGAACAAAAAATGATAAATTTACTAGATCATAATATGTTTATTTAAATTCAAAAAATGAAGAATTAGCTAAAGGAATAGGATTTGGAGGTGAATTAGCTAAAGAATTTAGAATATTTATAAATTCAGATCTTTAAACTGTTTAATGTAAAAATCATGATAAGACATATGAACCAGGTGAATTAATGCCATTTAAATAAGGAAAAATAACATTAATGGAAGTTTGGACAATTTAATAAATATAAGGTACTACTTAATTTAAAGATTTAATATAATAAAAAATGGAAGATTAAATTGAATTTGAAGAATTTGAAATACCTTAAATACGTTTAGATGAAGATATTAGTTCATATAGATCAGGTGAACATTCTTAATTGAATTAATCTATAAATGAATTAAAATAAAAAGATTCTTGTGATTGGGAAGGTTCTAGTTAAAATGGATTTGAAGAAGAAATAATAATAAAGAATGATGGATATGAAGAAGTAAAGAAAAATGAAAAAGAATTTGAAATTGTTGAATTAAATGATAGTGTAAATATTATATATATATTATTTTATTAGAATAACAAAACAAGTATTAATATACAAAATTAAGTAGTTGTTAATAATAATTAATTTGAATTTGAAGAAGTAGCTATTAATACAACAGATAAAATGGAATCATCTGCACTTTAAGTAGTTTATAATGTAAAATCAGGAAAATTTGGTGATGCATCTTAAGATGATAAGTAAATATATTATATAAAATATAAAGTTGGAATGGAGATAATTCTGATTGGAAAGGAGATACTAGTAGTTCAAGTAAACCAAAAGAAATGCTTATAAGTTAAGATTTAAAGATTATTAATGAAAATCTTCAGGATTAAACCAATACAGAATTGTGATTATTGTAAAAATCAAAATTTATATTACTTATTATATATATATATATAAATATCTGTTTGAATTGTATAAAAAAATTATTATATATGTCCTAATAATATTATATATATCAAAACTACAATAATCTATAGATTTGATAAGAAATAATTAAATTATAATAATTCATAAAACATATCAGAACCATCTTTTGGCCCATAATTTAAGTTTCTCTTAACCACTAAATAAATTCTTAGATATAGCAATTAATCTATCACATTTAGAATCAATAATTCCATTATCATAAACTATATCTTTTAATTTTTTAATAAAAGGTTCTAGAGAATCTTTGCATCCCAATTACCAAAATACTACATTCAAATATTCTTATAGACTAATAATAATATTATATATTATTACTCATTATTAAGAATGCCAATGATGGTTGCTGTAAATGTTGGTATTAAATATGCATTTAAATTTATTTCACCAACTAAATGTTCAATATTTCTTGAATATCTAATAGCAAATGGATCATATAAAGTGAGTCTTTGATTATTTACTTTGAATAAATATTTCTTTTGATAGAAGTTTCCATTACTCAAATTAATTTATAGGTTTTCCAATTATTTTGGTGATTAACTACTAGCCATAGTAAAGGATAGAGCAAATTAAACTGCAATATTGACAACCATTATTTTTCTAATTTAAACAAAAGTGTCAATTGTTTTTGAAAATCTTAAAATAATATTTGTTAAATCATTTTTTTATATTTAATCTACTTATGTACTATATTATAATAATTATATAAATACTTATAATATGGTATTTTGTTAGAGGGATCATTCTTAGGGTTTTTATGATAATGAATTTAGAGAATAGTATCTAGAATATTACTAAGATTATAGGTTTCTTCTTAATATGGTTCTAATTAATAATTTAGTTTATCATATTCTAAAAGATATTTATCTGTAACCATATGTTTTACATTTCTAATTTTAGTTTCCTTATGATTTTAATTTAATGTATTTGTCATTTTCACAAATTAAGTTGATATATGTTCATCAAGAATACTTTATATAGGTTTCTTATTTTCAATTTTTTTAGTTTTTAAAAGGAAGAAATATTTCTTTTCATCATTCCCTAATAAAGCTATTTATCTAATAAATCGTTTTCTCCTTAAAAACATAATATGAATGGTTGGAAACATATTTGTGATATAAATTGTATCATATGCTTGAGTTCTTTTAATTTATCCATCTATTCCTAACATTGGTAGTTGATTCATTTAAAATTCATCATTAATTGAATATAATTAATCAATTTAAATTTATTTTGACATTAATGAATTAATAGAATTACTTAATTATAATGGAAAATCTTCTTCAAAACTCATTTTGACTCCAAATAGATTAATATATAAACATTTTAAAGTAGTCAAATAAATTGATTATATAGTTTTAAGTTAATCATTTTTTAACTATTTATTTAAATCATTAAATTACCAATATTACTTAATCATATCTTTAATTTAAGGATTCTTTTAAATAATATTTAAAATATATTAACATCTATCATTTATATTATTAGAATTAATTTCAAAATGTTTAGAATCTAAGATTTTTCCACATTAATATATTATTTCTTCAACATTATCCCATACTTATTAATCAAATATAGAATTATAAAGATAACGTAATGAATAAATTGATGCTATTTTCTAATTTAATTTTGATGATTTTTGAATAGAATTAATAAGTTATAATGATCTCTCATCAGTACATTATCCTAAACTTTTTAAATATTATATTAGTTATAAACTATTAAGAGGATTAAATATGCATAATTTATTGATAGCATCTAAACAATCTTTTCTTGTTTAATCACAAGGAGTTTAAAGATAAGTTGATACTAATTAAGTTAAGAATCTTTATAATAAATGTAAAGGTATCAATCCAACTATTTAAGAGAATGCATCTGTTACAATTGAATCAGTTTGATTTGTGATATTTAGAATATAAAACATATACATACCTGTAATTGGGAATTTTTATGGTTTATATTACATACTTAAGGGTGTTATTTAAATATAATGATGTGCAAATTTTATATTATTGCTATATTTTTTATGAGCAAGTTAATATATTTTATGAGCTTCTTTCCAAAATTTCAAATAATTAACTTAATTTTGAATGAAGAAATCATTTGTTTAACTAACCATTACTTCTAGTTTTTATTCTTCAATTTACATAGAATTAGACTCATTTGATTGATCTAATCTTAATAATTTATAAAATTAATTGATCATTTTATATCTTCTTATTTTACTTATCATATAATTTTTGAATTCTTCTGCACTATATGTTCCTAATTATAAGGAATTGAAATAATTAAGTAATTCAGTCAAATTTGATTAATTATTATCCACATCTTAAAATTTAATTGTTTTAAATTTGATTTTCTCTAATTAATATATTTTCTCAGCATAAACTTATAAAACTTTAGGTATTTCTTTTAGAATTTATTATTCATCAAACAATTCAAAGATTCCATTTTATTAATAATATCTCATTGGATATAATAAAGTCTTATAATCCAAAGCAGCTAATTAATAACTCTTTTGATCTAAACTTGTATTTGCAGGTAATTATTGATTAGTAAGTAATTAACTTAATTAACCATTAAATCTTTATAAACACATTTATAATTAAACCATTCTTTAACTGATTAAATCAAAAGTAAACTCTTATTAATCTATAATTGTTGGTTGTCTTTCAAAAAAGTACTTCTTACATAATAGACTAGATTAATATGAATTAGATATTATATCTAATAATTAATCATAACCAGTTTAAGCTTAACCAGGAAAGGCAGGTTAAGTAGGAGCATATTATCTGAGACTTTCTTCTAATTCTGTATATAATTAGAATTGAGATACAAAATTAAGGAATTTACTACCCCATAATTAAGGTGATGACATCATTTAATCATATGATTATGTGAGTTTTGGAAGTGTTTTTATGAAATTATAACAATTGATAATTTGTGCATATTTAAGATTTTATTCAATTGATTATAAAACATGATTACCACCTCTTCCATGTTAATTTGATTATGCTTCATCTCTAACAAAATCAAGTAGTTTGAAATAAGCTTAATTATAACAATAATGATCATTCTATTAAATATTTTATTTGATCTCTGATAATGAATTCAACTCTTTCCATCCTTAATCTGTAGTTTCTCTTTATCTTTCTCTAAAACCCATAATAATTTTATTTTAAACAGCTTATACTTTACTTAAATCTACTTATTTGAGTGTATTCCATTAATTTAATTATTATAATGATTCTGTAAATAGTTAATGAATAATTTATTAATCATATTCTTTTTGAATACCTTAAGTTTCATTAGTTTCTTATTCTAATTACAACCAAAATTAATCAACAGTTTCTTAATTATTTAATATTAATTAATAGGATTGAGCAGGTTCTCTTAATTAATTAATTAAAACTAATTATCTAACCCAAGGTTAAGTAGCAGTCAATGCTTTACAACCCAATAAACATTATTTATTCCATTATTCTTAATATACACCTTATAATTATATTAGGATATCTTCATTTAATTATGAATAATAGGATGAATCCTCTTCATTCAAATATTAATAAATATATTCTAATAAATATTATGCTGATGGTAATAAATTCTTTTATTTAAGACACATGATTAAATTATTGAAATTAAGTTAAGTCTATTGATTCTCCATTATATCATAAATATTGGATATCTGAGATTATATTTATTGAACTAAATAATTAGATATAGTCTATAGTGTTCCATTAGATATAGATTATTATGAAACATAATCAGTTATTTGAGTTATAGTTTTGATATCATTGATAATAACTTGATTAAATATTGGTTTAAGCAATCGACTACTTACATTAGCAGCTGTACCCATCAATTCAATAGCAGCACTTGGTATAATACATTCTCTTAATGGTTATTATGGTTAATCTTAAATTGGAATATATGATAAATTGTATATTACAATAGATGGTAAATATTCACTTGTAAATAATTTAATACTTGAATTATACAATTTCTACCAATATTTCTTTCTATAATATATAGCCAAATATTTATTTAATACTTGTTCTCTCATTATAGAATCTTCATCTTTTTGTACTACTTTTACAATAATTTGATTTGGTTGAGTTGGTTAGAATACTTTTGGAGATAACATATATCCTCTTCCTAAAATCATTAATTTAACTGCCATCAACATTATCTCTTCTCCTTCTGTTTAAAGTGGTTAATCTTACTATTTACTACTAGGATCTCCTAATACAAATTATAAGAATCTATCATAAGTATATCCATAAATATCTAATATCATTTTATAAAAGAATTGTAAATAATCCAAACATGTACTCAATTTACTTATGGCTAATAATATACGTCTAAATTCTCTTAATGAACCATTACCTTTATCAAATATATTCTTTAATAAATAAAATCCACTATTAATTGATCCTTATTATTTCTTAAATGGATATACTAATAATAATTCACATAAGAAAATAAAATATAATTTGAATACTTTAAGATCTTATATTTTCCCATGTTGATTATCATAACTATCAGAACTTCTTTAATCTATCTTTTTATCAAACATGCTTTGGAATTTATTCAAATCAAAAAAGAAACTTAATTATAATTCATATGACATTTTAGATGGTTTAAACTATTAATTTTCCTCCATTTTCTTTAACTCTTATCTTACTTAGAATGATCTCACTGGAGATAGATAAACTGATATTGCTTATAAATAACCTTCTCCATTTGAAATTCCATTAATAAATAACATTCTTAATATAGCTATACATTCCAATTTCAATTCATAATCAGGTACTGATTCTATTATCCATATTAACATTTATAAATATTCAATCTATTCTTTTTAATCTTTAATTTCATCAAAATTATAAGCTATCATTTTTAAAGTCTTTTGAAGTGCTGATCTATATAAATGAAATTTAATCTTTTAATTTTCAGGAAATTCTTCTGGAAAATATAACATTTCATCACTTTTCTTTACTCCAAATGGAAAATCATCTGTCATCAAACCAAAATCACTGATATATTAAGATAAATCTGAATGTGTGTACTACTTCTAAGAATCATTTTCCCATTATTCATTCTCTCTAATATTAAACTATTTCTTAGGAATTGTATATTTTCTCATATTCTCTAAATATTAATCTCCCTTATCCTTCTACTTCAAGTATTCAATCAACATTTCAGCTATTCTCTTTAATGAAGGTAACAAAGGTCTTACATAAGTGATATCATGATTAAAAAACAACTTTAATAAAAAGATTGATAAAATATGAACTTTCAATACTTATGTTGGAATTCTGGATCCCATAAATTAATTCATTTATTATTGACTATTCCTCTTAAATTAAGGATGTTATGATATTGTTGAATTAACCCAATTTGATAGTTAATTATAAAATTAATCACTTTATTCATTCTAATTTTCTTTTGCATTCTTTAGTAATTTTCTGAATATATTAAAAATTGAAAATACAAGTGGTGCATGATCTTATGATAATGCATTTTAATGTTATTAACCTCTATCCATAGGAGGTTAAGGATATTATACCCTATTTTATGGAGGTGGTTGTCTAGGTTATGTTTGAGGAATTCTACCTGCATTAGGTCTAGGTGGCATTTATTATTATACTTGATCTGGTAATTAATTCATATGAAAGATTATATCAAAAAATGGTTAATACAATTAATTTATTTTATTAGAAGGTTAGAACTCAGCAATAATAGTAAGTATATGTAATACAATTATGAAATATCTAAAATAAGCAGTAGGTTATTATTAAATTGCTCTCATATTTTAATTTCCTTATTAAGGTTCCACTATTTAATTCATCAGATTTGCAATATTCTTCTTAACTGTATCCATATTCATTTTGTAATTAGTAAGTGGAGCAATTATCAATATCTTCTTTAATAAATATAATGCTCTTTTTTGTAATTCAGCATCTTCAATATTATGAGCTTTAAGTGATTATTTTATAAAAAAGGATTAATAAATTTCACTTGATAAAGATTCATCATGATTTTAAGCTTCACTTTAATAGAATGAATCACGGAATTTCTTAGTATTATTTTATAATAAGTCATTTTTTATTAATTTAGTTTTCCATTCAACTTATAAAAATGCCATATCTAATGCAATTCTTCTATAATTTTGATAACTATTAATAATTATTGGAGCTTAAGGTGATTAATTTTAATTGAAAAATCCAATTTATTACATAGAATTAATAATATGAATTGTAAATGATTCATGATGTTTATGAAATATTTTATGATTCTTTATAAACATAGACCAAAATCTACTAACTTTTTAAGCTTATTCAAAATCTAAATTAGATGATTCTTATTTCAATAATTATTATGTTGCTTAAATCCAATCTTTTTAATCTTGTACTTCTACTTAATCTAACCAAGGTAAAACAACACTAAATATTTTTTTACATAAACTATATAATTCTTATTCAGATTATCCACTTTCATCTAATTATTTTAATGCTTTATTATATATTTTTAAATATCTCTTATTAACAGATATAGGATCATTTTATATTAATCCTATCTTTTTTAAGAATTTACTAAAATATAAATTAGCATGAAATGCAACCAATTTATCTGATTTATTAATCATATCATATCCAAATTACAAAAAAGACATTTTTAACTCTGATGGTAATTATTATTCTTAAAAGCATAATAAATATGAACTAATTTATAGCATATCAATAACAGATGATTTATAATAATGATTTACATCAGATAATTTAGCTGTTAAATTATTAGGTAATTTATAAGTAAAATTCATAGGACAATGATGTTCAATATCACTTAATATTTTACCATAATATTTAAAAAAATCATCATTTATCTCTTTCATTCTTTAAAATAAAGACAATTAACTAATTTAACTTAAATCATTTCTTTAATTAGAATGGAATAAAATAGGATATATTACATGATATCCAGTAATCATTTATATTTAATTTAATTGATCATCATCAGAAAATTTGAAATTATCCATCCATATTTCAATTATTCTTTTTCTTAAAGATATTGATTTATTCATTGCTACATTCATTACCCATTTTTTTACTTTATCTTATGTTGAATATAATATCAATCTAAGCATTCCTTAAATAGCTGGTCTACTATCTTCATTTTATGAAATGTATTATTTTAACATACTACAATGTCTATTTAATAAACTATTTATTTATTAATTAGAAAGTATCAATTAATTATAAGCTTATTATAATTGACTTTATTAAACTTTCCTATTTTGATTATTTGGTTTCTATTTCTCTAAAAGATCCTTAATATTATTTAAGATACAATTCTCTAAAATATGACTATTCTTCTTCAAACATGAAGGATTCCTCTTACATAATTAAAAACCAAATTAAACAATTTCTATTTTTATTTCACTTATCACATTTATCAATTTTTATATATAAGATTAATGAAATGATTATTATAATTCTTAACTCAAAAGTGTTTAAGTTGTTGATAACCCTTTTTCTAAAGCACTACTTAAATCATCTATAATTTTATTAAAACGTTCCATCTTTAATGCCAATTAACTTTTCTCTCTACATAATTTCTCTCTTAATGGAAATGCTGTTGGCTCTGAAATTATTTATCTGACTGTTTTAATATATTATAAACGTTCTCTTAATTATTCCCAAAGACCTTTGATTGGAGTTTAATTAGATAATAATTGACCCACTCCTTCTAATTATTTTTAAAATTATGAAATTTATCCAATATTATAACAAGATTAGAATACATCAAAATAATTGGCAGCTAGTGTATTTAAGAATTTTACTAATGGTTTATCAATTGATTGATTTAATTACATTTATGATACTTTAAAAACATAATTACGTCTTAGATTATTTGTATCAGTAATTATTCTCTATACAATATTTAAATTTTAAGCTCCATTGGCTGGATTAGTAAGTTAAGATGTTAAATGTTAAAATAATTTCAAGAGTCCAGATATGATACCCATTTAAAAATTTAATGATTCTTATGATTAATGTTATTGATAAAACCATTCCATTGTTGTGCAAAATTGACCATTTTGATTCAGAGTTTATTGAATGTTTTCTTATACTATTTTAGTCAAATGTCCTTATAATTTATCAGATAGTGCTTTATGGAAAACCTTACTAAATAATTTCAATATGAGTTTTAAAGACTTTAAAAATGATGGTATGTAATGAAAAATGTCAGACTAAACACATGTAAGTAATGGTTTCATAACTTTTTTTAATCTATCATCATTTTCAAACAATGTTTTATCATTAGATATACCTTCCTATTATAATAAATCTTAAAGATATCTATAACCTGCCTATCTTATACTAGATTCAACTCTTAAAAGTCCTTCATACAGAATTTCAACAATTTTGAATTTCATTGCTAGAATGACTGGCTTAACTGTTAGATTTTTATCTATATTTTTCTGAAGATGTTTTTATATGAGATAAATATAATTAACAGTTGCCATAGATTTTAAAAAACCATAAATAGCCACAACCATATAACTTTACCATTTGATTTCAAAATCTATATCTTCAATATTAATTTTAAATTCTAAATCATCTAATCCATGAGACACATTGATTTGAGCATTCTATTACTATTAATCATCATTAGTAAGAATTAATTTTGATTGTTTATAATAAGTTTCTTCATTTTATTGTATTATTTTAAAAGATAATTAAACAAATTCTTCAATACATGGTACCAATGAAAGTTCCTTTTCAAATTAAACAACTTTAAATAAATGATACTAAACAGACTTAAACTTTCCTTACTTTTATAGTAAATAAGTCAATATTCTAAAACCATTGGCATACCTCTAAGCAGTCATATCTGACATTTTCTATTCTTCACATAATTGCTTTATGATTAAGACTAACTCTCTTAAAACTGTATTTTGAGTATATGGAGAAGTAGGGATTTCAGAATAGTCTATATTAACCCAATATAATTAAGATAAGTTAGATCCAGTTATGTCATCTAAAGGAATAGGTTTAATTTATTCATCAAATCTTGAATTCATTCCATCTCCAATATTCATATAAAATAAAGGACCAGCATTACCTTAATAATAATTGGCAATAAGATGATCAAATAGTTCAGTGCAAATCTATAACAATGATTTTTTAAAAGTAAGGCAATTTTATGTAATAACCTTAACAAATTCTCTTAATCTATTCTATAATATAAGTGTGCTTTAATGAGAATGAGGTTATTTTGAATGATCATAATTAAGATTCTCAATTAATTAATTCAATGTTTAAAATAATAAATTTTTAGTAAGCTATTATGATACTACTCGTATTGTTTCTGATAATTATCTTAATAATATGAATGAACATTCTACAATTCTTTAATCAGGAATATATGGTAATCCTATTATTTGATTTGATGTATAATAATCTTCAAATTTTGGTCTAAGAGTCTATAATTCTGTTAGTAATTCAATAGAAATCGATCTGCAATTCAATCCCTCTGATGGAATCATAGTTCCTCCATATGCTAGGAATAATTCATATTAAATAATTACATTAAACTATTTATATTTTTTTACGACGATCATCTTCCTTTTATAATTAGGTTTATTTCCCAAACTTCTCATAAACAAATTCTTCAAATAAACGAACAACTACTGTATAATAGACATTATAAGCCCATAACATATTTTCATTATTATTTTTCAAATGATTACTCAATATTCTCTTATATTTCTTAAGACAATTGCCCATAAGCAATTTATTCCAAATAAATTCATGCTGTTGAATGTAGAAATCTTTGAAATTCATATTTTCTTCAGCTGTTAACATATATCTCTTATTTAAACCTTTGAAGAGATGAGATATCCATTTAATATATTGAGGTCTCTCTCTTAAATATTTATCTACAATATCTTCTGTCATAGCATATAGTGAATTTAAATCTGGTTTTATTTATTTGAGTTACTATATTTATTCACAATGATCATCAGCTAATTGAATAAAAAACATCTCAGATAAAGTAGTTACAACATTCTCAACATCCTCTTTAATCTTGTGAAATGTAGCTGTTGTGAGTGTCTAAATTATATTATGAAAATTGCTTAAACCAATAAACACCTTAGTTACTGCTGATATTAATTCTTCATCTTAATACATTAATAGATCTTGTTCACATTAACGTGATTATAATTTCATATCTAATGCCATCCCTTCAGGTATTTGATAATTGTATATATCATGATCAAATTAAATAGGCATTTAATAATATCCTAATAGTACCATTTTTACAATTGAATAACTATGCTATATTGAAGATTATTTAAATAAATATGTAGCTAATTGTTATTCTAAAACATTTTATAAAATTTCTACTGCACATCTTACTGTTTCAGAAAGGTTGATTTTTAAATTAGTTTACAACCCTTCTATTTATACTTCCAAATATTAATTTCTAATAAATGGATTATCAGTATGAGTTCTTTTAATTTCAATAGGCCATTCTGATTTTCTAACCAAAGCTCCCAATTTTGATAATATTTTTAATGATTTAAATGAAGGATCCAAAAATAAATTAACTTATTTTGAATATATATCTGCCATTTTATATTCTGATGGAAATGTAAGTAATTTTTCAATGAATGGTTAAAGTAAATCTCCAAAGAATTCTCTCATCTCTTCCATACTCAAATTAGTTACAATATTCTCCAATAACATTAATGTTTTTTGAATTACTTAATTTTCAATTGTAGATATATTATGTAAGGCTCTAAACAAACATTATGCAAAAACTGGATATTATTTAGCTAAATTAATTTGAATTGTTTTTTGCAATGGGAAATTAGCTATTACTTCTGCAACAATATCCTATATTTCTACTATTCCAGTTTAAAACAACTCAAACATATTTAAAACAATATTAACTCCACTCAAATTTGTTTTATGATATAATTCATATTACTATCTATATAAAATCTATTATCTATCATTTCGATCATATTTATCACATAATTATTAAAAATATTTTGATAATCCCTCTCCTTAATCATTATTCTATATTCTTTTAACTAATGATAATAATAATCCTAAAAAGTCAATAGGATAATATGTTTCATGAGATTTTTTTACAAAAAATAATATTAATTATTTCACCAATGGTTTTACTATTGGTTCTTCATTTTATTAACATTTCACTCTTGGAAATAATCTTATAGGAATTCTTAATAATTTTTATATTAATGAAATGTATTCATCTTAATCTTTTTATGAAACATTTTAAGTTTTTTAATTGTTTGTTTGTATCAATTAACCTCCTCTACAATATCCAAATCTAGATGGCAATTCTGGAGTTGTTTACAATTCTCTCAAATATAAATTTAATAGAAATTCTATATAATATTTAACTGATAATTTAGGTTATGCTTAATTTTCTGGATGACTTAATATTTATAAATGATCCTATAATAATAATGGAAGACAATGTGTTTCTGGACATGTCTTTATTAAATTAACTGAAATTTTTAATAATAATTTTGAATTTGGTTCAAAAATATTTTTAAAATTTATAGGATCTTAAAATTAAATAAAAAATTGCATAAATTAAGGAATTGTTTTCTTTTTATAATCTAAAATTTCAAAATGATTTCTTTAATGATCATGCAATTCATCAAATATTAATAATCCATTTTTCATTATCTTTGACATATAATGACATTACAAATTACTCAAATAAGGTTTATTTTCATTTGTTGCTTAAAATAAAGGTGCTAATCTTTATGAGATTTAATAATTTTGTCTAGTTTTATATTTATTTACTATATCCTTATTTGTTGTTGCCACAAATTGAAGTAACTTTTACAATATTTCATTCAATTAATCAAATATCTTTGATTTTACTTCCTTAGCAAATTCAACAAATTAACTATATGAATTGATGCTAGTCGAATTAACCTAATATTCTTCTTCATCATCAAAAGTATAAACTTAAGTAGCTGCTGAATCTTATTAAGTAATTAGATTTTAATCAATATCAATCTCATTTTCCTTAATATACTATTCTAATTAACTTATATATCTTTCATTTAAAGTTTCATTATTACAAGGCATAGATGAAACATTGGTTTGCTGAGTTGTTTTCTTTATAATACCCCATTTCTAAGTTCTATTTAACATTTCTTTGATCTACTAGATTTGCTTTCTAATTTATGCTAATTTCATTCCTATCATCTAAAATAATCTATCCAACAATTTATACTTTGGACTATGAGTTGTTACTTCCTTGAACATAGAATCATTTTATTATTATTGTTGTTAAGGTTAATCAATATAATATTAAAATAAATTCTTATCAATGAAATAAGTGTTTTATTTAGCAAATAAATCTAAAAACACTTTAATTAAATCTAAAGCTTTCTCATGAATAGATAATTATAAAGAGGAATCAAATAAAACCTTAAATATAGTATTGAAAATCTTGTCCATATATGCTTAATTATTAATGAAATCAGTTTACATTTTCTCTAAGTTAGTAGGTTATTAATTTTATTATTCATTCTTAGGGAGATAACTTTAAACTACATGTTTAACAATATCTAACCAATTTTGATAAATACTAGTCTTTTAATATGGTGGTATTTTTAGATTCTTACCTACTATTGTTTCTTCATCAATCAATTCAGCAACATTGGCATTTATTTCATTAATCTTTTCTGTCATATCATTTTATTATATAGCATCTCTTTTTTAAATAATAGATTATTTCAGACGATTACTGATATCAATCCTTATATGCATAATATCAACAGGACAATGCTTAAGTGTTTTGATGATAGTGGCAATTACTGAATCTAATTTTATTGTATCTGATATATCTTTAATTATTCTTGATTAAGGTTGCATCTAATTTTCATCCCTTTTAATTGTAAGAGCAAGTAATTATAAAAACTTTGAATAGGCATTAAAAAGTTCTTAAACTATATTCCTTGGGACTTTCTATAATAAATCTTAAAAATTGGTCTCATTAATTACTTAATTCATAGTCTTTAAGGCTCTCTTCAAGATTTCTCTCATTTAGGTTTTGGTCTACTTTAAAAATAAATGATTACTTCATCTTTCACTATTGAGTCCAGAACAAAAATTGTGTAAATGAAGAATGGTGGTATATTAGTAACAAAAGATAAGCTATAAATATTGAGTCTTATGTCTTTTTCTCTTTTATCTTCTATATCTGATTATAAGACATAATTCTGATCTTAGAATGGATTTCCTTAATTATCTCCTAAAAGTTTCTTGTATTAAGATTTTTTGAGTTCATTATTAAATTTAACCAAGAATTCGATCCGCTACTCAAAGAAAGAATAGAGTCTCAATAACAATGAATCTGAAAATAGAGTATTTGATCTCTAGTATTGATGAGATTATTATTGGTTAGACTTTAATAGATCATTGATGATGCGGATGGCTACAGCTGCATTATTTTCATTGTCCTTTTCTAATACAACAGTCATTTATTCAACAACTTGAAATGTCATGTGTTATAAAAGAATTTTCTTTTGTAATAATTCCAAGATGGCAGCTCTAATTAAGAATTTAGTATTGCGAGATGTTTATGGTTCAACATGTTGAAGGACATAAACAATAAAGTTCAAGCAATTCTCAACGAAAATTTTTTAATTATTTTGAAGGACTTGCTATAAGTATATTACATTTATTGAGTACATGATTGGTGTCTCTATTTCTTTCTTGATGTACCTCTTCTGAAATTCGACATAAACGTTCTCTAATTTCAAAAATATTCCTTTCTGTGAAGCTCTCATTGTTGTTGTTTAGGTTGTTAAGCTAATCTTTGAGCTTTTCGAAATAGGCAGGGTCAATTTATGACATTTTAATTAAATTAATAATGAATTTCGCTCCCTTCTTCTAATTGAAAATAACAAATATTCGTAATAATTTTGTTCGCAATTATAAATGCTTTCCTATCAAAACGTTGCATAAAATGAATATTAGAAAGAAAAAGACATTCCATCTCCAAGTCCTTTATCTAGACCCAAAGACAATAATACAAATTAATAACCTACTCCAGTTCCCCAACCATTCAATACGTTACTGCCAGCTAATCTGTAATTTTTTAATAGCTTATACCAATAGTCTACATCCCTAGACAATGGAAAATGACAGATAATCGTAAATTATTGTTATTCATTTAGAATAAAATCAAACCTATCCCAAAAAGATTAATCCTTTAAATCGAATTACAATATTAACTAAATCAATCCTTAAGAGTAGATGCTTCTTGAAAAGTAATAGTTTCTCATGGAAGAAGGAGAAGACTTAAAGTAACACAATTAAACTACCTAGATCATAAGTGAGAAAGTTATAGAATGAGAATTAACAACTTAAAAAAGTTATCGACTAACTTTAACCTGAATTGTATTCAGTTTTCCTTCTAATCCTTTAGATAATCTTTTAAAAACCAAAAGTCGATTGAACAAGATCTCAAAGCCAAATTTGATTATTAGGAAGAAATGATTGTTAAATTGAAATCCGAAGTTCGTAGAAAATAGGAAGCTCTCCAAGAGAATCAATATAAGTTAGCTGAATTGGATAAACTTTAAAAAAAGTTGGAAGATTACAATCTCTTGTCTTCTAAATCAAATGAACTAAATAAATAAATCAAAGATCTTCAAGATTAAGTTTAAGATTAGAAAAGGTAATTAGTCTATCTTAATTCTGCTGAACATGAAAATAGCAATTTAAAAGAATATATTGAAACATACAAGCAATAATTAAGAGAAAAGGATATAAAAATTGAATAGCATAGAGAATAATAGGAATAATTGTACTTAGATAATAAGAAAATGAAAACAACATTGGATATGTTAAATTTCGAACTTAAAAAATAATAAGAAAATTCTAAAGATTAATTACATAGAGCTACTTTATAAATTACAGAACTTTAAGGATAAGTGAGTTCTTATTAAAAAACAATTGCTAATTAAGCACATCAAATTGAATTACAAAAATAATAGGTTAAGTAATTAGAAATTAAAGAAAAAGAACTTTATAGTACTAAAAATTAAGTATTGAAATTAGAAGAATCTATACAAAATCTAAATTAATAAAATTTACTATGTAACTTATTATTCTTTAATTTAATTAGAATAGAAAGAAATTGAAAAATTAGCTATGACTTTAAAGAATGGCAAATAAGAATATCTAAATTAATAATAGAAACTTGTTAATGCTGAACAAGAAATAAAAAAACAATAAGATTAAATTCAACAATTACAAAAATATAAGGATTAAATAATTCATTAATGTTAATTCCTTGAATAAGAATTAAAAAAGAAACAAGGAAATTTAGATTAAAGCATAAATTAAGCTCAACATAAATAGATTGAAATGAAGACTGTTTTAGATTAACAATAAAATTAACTTTAAATAATGGAAGGGGAATTATAAAAAAGAGATGCTATCATTTTTACTTTAGACTAACAAAATTAAACATTAAAAAGCTAACTTGAATAATATTCTTAAGCTGACTCTTTAAATAAAAATGAATTGAATAGTAATTTTGCAAAAATGAAAGAAATGCATAATGATTTGATTTTATATGAGAAATAGGTCGATTCTATAAGTTTGGGTATAGGATAATTTTATTTATATAGAAAACCATTAAATAAAGTTGTAAAATTAGATGCTCTAAGATAGAAATAACTAATTAGAATTTGAAGTTACTAAATTAAGAGTAATACTTCATAACTATATATAGGAATAATTAATAACACAAGACAATCGTATTAGAAATTTAGAAAATGAATTGTAGAGTTAATCATTCAATCAAAAGTTGAACACAATACGTATGCCATACACCTCAGATCAGCTCTTTCCGAATTAATAACAGTTCTTATAATCAAATACACCTAAAGGTTCTTTTAATAATTAATTCAATTTTTATAAATGAACATATGAAATTAGTATAATATTTAAAAGTAATTTAATATTATATCTTGTAAAATTCCATCGTTTATTACTTATATTAAGAATCTTAAGTCCTTCTAATTATTACATTTCTGTATCTTTGAAAGGTTGTTATAATTTGATAAGCCTTAAGCAATTAATTTATAATGAAGATTATGATTTACTAAATTTATATTATTTTTAATTATAAAAATTGACTTGATTTAACCAATAATTAAAATTATTCTTATTCTTTTTAATTCTTTTATTTTTAGAAAATAGTTTTCTAAATTCATTATGTTATAATTAATTAATATTTTGAAATAGAAACATGAATCAACTATAATATAAGGCTTATGAAGTTTATTCAGGTAATCTTCTTATTGATTATTGGTCTTATAAAGAAGATGATCAATGTTATTTAAAAATATAAATGAAAAAGATCAATAAAAAAATGATTAAATTGAAAATTAGAGGATCAAAAAGAAAAAAAAAAGAAGAAAATGAAATAATTCATAAAATTATAGCCTTATGCATTTGAATTTTAATTTATATAGAAATATTTATAGATATATGAAAAACAATTATTAGAATCTAATATTCTTTATTAAAATATTTAGTTATTCTGAATATTAATTTATATATAATAATATATATTAAAATATTCTTTTTTTTTATGAATAAAATGAAAATAAGAATTTTTAATTTTAATCAATTAATAATTCATTCAGCAATCTCTTCATTTCTATTGCTACTCTCATCTTGATTAAATATTTATGAAACTTATTGTGAATATATAACACCTCCAATTTTTAAGTTAATTTTGGCTGGAGTGTAAGATTTTTGTCCTGTTTGAGCAAAACCCTTAAAATAATAAAATATCTTACTTTAACTACTTTATCAACAACATATTAATGTCTTTTATTTAAAATTGTTGCTGATTCTGGCTCATCTGGTACTAAAAATCGAATAAAATATTTCAATGCCAAAAAAACTACTAGTAAAACTGAAAATATAACAATTTAATTAGTTTAAATAGTTTAGGAGGTATAAACAATTAAACCAGAGTTTGAGAATATTCCAAAAAATGTGATAACTTCTAAAATAATAAGCCAATTTCCAATAGTAGCAGCTCCTTATGGAAATGGTCTTCTTGAAACTCTGATCAATTTAAATTTATCAACTTATATTTCTATAATGTTTGACACAAATGCTAATATATAACATGATGGAAATGCAAGTCCAAATAAAGCTAGATATGAAAATTAAATAACAAGTTCCATATAATCATTAACTGTTCCATCTACTTCTTCATTTGTTTAATATGGTTCTAATTCCATTTAATCATCAATAGCAGAATCAATTAATTTAAATGCATGTTCAACTTCTTTGGCAGTTTTGGATTTCATTTACTAATATTTAATATAAGAAAATATTTTACTTTTGTAATAAAAGCTTTAATATATGGAGTTGCTAATTCTGGAATATTTTTACCTATATTGGATAGGAAAATAACTGTCATCTAATTAGATAATACTTAAAAACAGTCATTCTGAATATCTTCACTTACTTTACATAATTATAATTATGAAAAATATCCAGATAGAAACGAAATGATAAAAAAAGAATTGAAACTAATATAAATATAAATAATAATTTACTTGTTAACGAACATAAATATGAATATTTTTGCAATAAGAGAATTTTCATAGGATGATAAAATCTTATGATTTTCATACATATTAAAAATATCACTTAATTTTTAATAGACAAAGTTAAAAAAGTTAATTTAAATAAAATTTAAAAGAGCTGGAACATTTTAAGCATAAAAAGGATCAGCTTTCTATTATAACATTAGATTCTTAAAAAAAAATATACCTAACACACTACCAATAACACATCCTATAATAAGAAAACTAACAGCTAATGAAAATAATTATTTCATTTTTCTAAGAAAAGGAGAATAAAATTCTTCATTCAAATCATCATTTGTAATAGATCTTATATATTTTCCTTAAAATGCTGGTCTTTCAGCTTCATCCTCTTCAAAATTTTGTTATCCAAATTAAACACTAAATAATATTTATTCTCTTTTCCAAAATTCAATAAAAAATGTACTCCAAATAATAATAGCTAATGAAAATAAAATAATCATTGTAGATTTAGCTTATTCTGTTGAAGCAGATATTAATCCTTAAGCAATAATTCCAATTATAGCCATATACCATAATTATTTAGTAAAATAACTCAAAAAAGAGAAATAAAGAGCTATTTTTTCACCAAAATAATCTCTCATAGAATTAATAGATACATGCCATGGAATTCTAAAATTAAATGCACTTGATTTCTCTAAACTATCTGAATCAAAATCAGTAGGTTCTGCTTCATCTTTTAATTCATTAAATAGATTTTTTAATTCATATTCATGTTCTGTATCTTCTTTTGGTTACATAAATTCACCTTCAATAAGTTTTTCAAAGAATGGACTTTTTGGAATGGCTTATAATTGATAATGATCATGAATTGGAAAATAAGCAGTTACAATAAGTTCTTTAATCATTTTTAAAATATTGATATTTTTTAATACTATTGCATGAGTAATTTTTATTTTTTCCATATTAATAAATTCTGATCTTAAACCTTTTTCATTAACTTCATATTTTCTCCACATTGAATTACCTACCTCATTATTTGGTTAAAAGAATTCAGTATATGGTGCAACAGGATCTACATTTAGTCTACCCCATAAATTCAATAATATTGATTTATTTTATGTTATTTCCCTCATAACACTTGGATGATTTTTATACCATAATTCATTTGCATCTCCTAAAGCCTTTCTAAAAATTAATTTATACAAAAAAGCTTAATTTTCTTAAATCTAAGTATTTCCTTTTTTCTTTAAATTTTATATTTTTTAACCAAAATGTTATAAGATTTCCATATAAATATAATAAATTTCCCATTCTTTTCTAGTAATATCTTTATCATTAATTAATTCAACTTTTTCATGACTTTAATCAATATTAAGTTCTTTAGCTATAATTTTCATAATTTTATCTACATCTTATTATTTTAAAATTGTATAAACTTATAGTAAAATATCATCCCATTAACAAATTATAGGATATAGAGAATCACAATAATTTCCTATTGTTTAATTATTTTATTATTAAATATTTTCTTCTATTTTTATTTCCTCTTAATCTATATATTTTTTCTCTTTAAATTCTTACATCTTTTTAAAATGTTATAATTAATCAACTAATGCTTAATTTGGATCAGTATTTGAATCCTTATTATCTTTCTTATCTTACATATCCTATTTCTTTCTATATTCCTCTTCTTTATTTTAAGCCTCTTTTCTTGAATCAAGAATTTCTTAAAGTTTTTTCTTTATTTCTTCATTATTTGTATATTATCTTATATAATTTTTCAATCTTAAAGGTCTAAAACTTTCATCAACTGGTTCTAAACTAAATAAATCAGCAAATCCTAATTCAATCTATTTTGTAACCTTCATATTTTAAGCTGATCTTTTCACTACTTCTTTACTACTTTTTAAAATAAGAAAAATTAACTCTCCTGTACCATTAATAAATTATCTACAATGTAAAAATCCATTTCTACACAATTTAGCCATTATTGTAAATCTAATTAATGTTAGAAAATCTTTTGGAGGAGTATTCTAACATGTCCATTCATACTTTTCTTGAAATTCATCAATTTTAGTCTTCTTTAAATATTAACCTTAACACCATTTTTTTTTTACTTTTTTAAATTAAGAAGTATCACTTATATCTACTTTTTATAATTCTTTTATAGGATCTAATACCATATTTGGATTAACTTCCATTTTATCTGGTTCTATACCAATTTCATCTAAATATGCTTATTTCTTTTATTAAATAACTTCTCCACCTTTCTTTTATTCATCCTCTTATAATTTTTAATCTTATTCTTATTTTTTATACATTCTTAAGAAATCTAGATATCTATCATATGATGTTTTTTCCTATTTTTTTTATAACTATTCTTTTTCCTCTCCAAATTATGTACCTGTTTATAAAGTCTTCACTGTTTTTTATTTATCTTCTTTCTTTAAATTTTTCTTTTTCTTTTTCTTCTAATTTCCTTCATCTTTCTTATCTTCATAATCATCTAAAGTTAAAAATGCTAATAAGAATGAACATCTTTCTTTTTTCATTTATGATTTTGAAACTTCATCAGTCATCACAGTTAACATTTCATCATATATTTTAACAGCATCTTTGAAAGAAATTGGTTTATTTTCACAATTATCTGAATCTGGATTTTAAAATATTATAGCTAAATCTCCAATATTGTAATCATCATAAGTTCCTTTAACTTCTGCAAATTCATTTGGATTTAGAAATTCATCTTAAATTTTTTCTTCTTTATATTCCTTATCATTAATATCCTTATCAAGAAGATCTTTTGCAGTTTTTTTCTTTAGAAATTTCTTAGCATCAACTTAATTTGTAAAGAAGCCTAGAATTTCTCTTAATGATTCTTCTTTTTGATTTTAAATTTTTTATTATTTTAGTTTCTTAGAATTCATGGATTATTTATTTTGTACTTTAGATTTCCCTTAAATCTATTTAGCCGATTATGATTTTTACTAAGTTGACATTTCAATAAAATAATAAAATAATTTAAAAAATAAACACCAAATTAAATACAAATGAAAATTAATTCATTTTATTATTTATATAAGATATAATCAATCTTAGAAACTTAATTAAGTTAATTAATTCATTATANTGATCTTTTCACTACTTCTTTACTACTTTTTAAAATAAGAAAAATTAACTCTCCTGTACCATTAATAAATTATCTACAATGTAAAAATCCATTTCTACACAATTTAGCCATTATTGTAAATCTAATTAATGTTAGAAAATCTTTTGGAGGAGTATTCTAACATGTCCATTCATACTTTTCTTGAAATTCATCAATTTTAGTCTTCTTTAAATATTAACCTTAACACCATTTTTTTTTTACTTTTTTAAATTAAGAAGTATCACTTATATCTACTTTTTATAATTCTTTTATAGGATCTAATACCATATTTGGATTAACTTCCATTTTATCTGGTTCTATACCAATTTCATCTAAATATGCTTATTTCTTTTATTAAATAACTTCTCCACCTTTCTTTTATTCATCCTCTTATAATTTTTAATCTTATTCTTATTTTTTATACATTCTTAAGAAATCTAGATATCTATCATATGATGTTTTTTCCTATTTTTTTTATAACTATTCTTTTTCCTCTCCAAATTATGTACCTGTTTATAAAGTCTTCACTGTTTTTTATTTATCTTCTTTCTTTAAATTTTTCTTTTTCTTTTTCTTCTAATTTCCTTCATCTTTCTTATCTTCATAATCATCTAAAGTTAAAAATGCTAATAAGAATGAACATCTTTCTTTTTTCATTTATGATTTTGAAACTTCATCAGTCATCACAGTTAACATTTCATCATATATTTTAACAGCATCTTTGAAAGAAATTGGTTTATTTTCACAATTATCTGAATCTGGATTTTAAAATATTATAGCTAAATCTCCAATATTGTAATCATCATAAGTTCCTTTAACTTCTGCAAATTCATTTGGATTTAGAAATTCATCTTAAATTTTTTCTTCTTTATATTCCTTATCATTAATATCCTTATCAAGAAGATCTTTTGCAGTTTTTTTCTTTAGAAATTTCTTAGCATCAACTTAATTTGTAAAGAAGCCTAGAATTTCTCTTAATGATTCTTCTTTTTGATTTTAAATTTTTTATTATTTTAGTTTCTTAGAATTCATGGATTATTTATTTTGTACTTTAGATTTCCCTTAAATCTATTTAGCCGATTATGATTTTTACTAAGTTGACATTTCAATAAAATAATAAAATAATTTAAAAAATAAACACCAAATTAAATACAAATGAAAATTAATTCATTTTATTATTTATATAAGATATAATCAATCTTAGAAACTTAATTAAGTTAATTAATTCATTATATTTTAATTTAAATAAATCATATCTTTTATTATTGTTTTCTGCATTTAGATTCAAAATATATAAAAAAATCATTAACAATATCTTGTCTCAAAATTTTTTTAAAGATTAAGTAACTAAAAATAAAGGAAATGATTAAATAATAATAAAGTATTATTTAAAAACTCCTTCACTTTTCAAGTGACTAAGAAAATCTCAAAAACTGTCAAATTTCCTTTTATAGATTAATATTCTATTATTTGAAGATTACTTAGTCTCATGGAAAGTTTAATTTTTACACTTACATTATAAAAAATAATTCAAAATAAATCTAATCTAAATAGTTGTTTGATAATAGAAAGAAATGTAATTTAAAGAATTTGAAAAACAAATATAGTATTGATATTTATAAATACAATATATTTTAACAATTAATTTGAAAATCAAATATTTATTGAGGATATTAATGTCTTTAATCCATGAAGATTCTTTTCTATTGCTAACTATAATAAACTATCAAAAAGTTATGTTGGTGTTCTAATAAAGCATTTTTCAAATTGATCAAGCTTTATTTGAAATTAGGCAGAACATTGACAACTATAAAATATAATTATATTTATACCTTTTTTAGAATGAATAATCTTAAGTTTATTTACATTTGACACAATAAAGATCTTGTATTTGATAGAATAACAATTATTGTTCTACAAATTAGCATATCAATTTTTCCATAGTTTAAGAATCATAATCATTTTTGCATCCTTCACATTTCCATAGATCTTTGAAAACATTAACTTCTGAAACCATATAACATTTATAACAAGGGACATTTTACAATATTAAATCAAAACAAGGATCTTCAAATTCAGCCTAGAATAATAATAATATAAAATACTTCTTTAGAGGATTCAGAAATGTTAACTATTTTACAACATACATTTCTAATTTTTTTCATTTATTAATGTACTTCTTCATCCACGCTTAATATTGCACATAGATAAATAAATGTTCTTAATATGATTAATTCTTATTTATGAAAATCAATTTTAGCTCCTAGAGTACTTTTAAGATACCATAATTTAGGAAAATTAGATACTTTACCATCTTCTTAACATTCTAATTCTTCTTCAATTTCAATTTATTATGGAGTATTATCTAAATCATCATCTGCAACAACAAATGAATTTTATTCATAATCATCTTAATCTTCTTATTCTATTTCTTCATCATCTTCAATATTAATTCTCTTCATTTTTACTGTTAATCCTGCTAATCCTATTGTTTTTTATTATTCTAAAAAAACTTCATAATTTTATTTTTCTTTTTTATATCTCTCATCATATTCTTATATTATATCATAGATTCTTTAAGAAAAAGAATTACTAATAAATTAAACTAAAAGATTGATAATGTCATTTTATAAATTAGTCATTCTCAAAATTTATAAATTAGTAGGTAACATACGAATTTATTCAAGTTGATTATTTCTAAGTTCTTCAATTTTTAATAAAATTTCAAATATTAAACGAACAAAAAGTTAAGACAATATAGATGGTAAAAAGTCAGCTAATTTTAATTTATAATCGAACTCATCATTATCACTATTATAATCGACATCTTTTCCAAGATAATTATGTTTATCCTTATAGATAAGAGAAGTAAAGAATTTAGATTACTAAAAAGTTACATGTTTAAATAGATTTGATTATCTTAATGTATTGATTATATATTCTATTTAAGATTTGGCCATATCCTTTTATTATTTACCAGTATAAAGTAATAATTTAGTTGGAGATGCTTTAACTATTTTAACACCCAATTACATTAATTTAGTTGTCAATATACTAAAAAACTTAAAATTCAATCTATTTAAAAGTTTACCTAAGTAAGGATCATAAAGTGGACTTTAACCTGAATAAATCCATATATTGATATTGAGAATATGATCATCTGAAACTTTCTCTCCTTTTACATATATATCATCTAACCATGATGAAACTAACATTTATAATAATCTAAATGCAATTTTTGCTCCTCCAAGTTCATCCAAATTATCAAGCATATCTGATTTACCATTTTAACCTACTAATGAACTTGCTTCTTTATCTAAATTTTTGATTTCTTCTGATTAAGCAATTGTATTAATAGAAAAATGAAGAATATCAATTTCACAAGTATAACCAATATAAATTCCAGGATTATCAAAATATGTTTTTGTAAATTCTGTTGGTACTAAATCTCTATTATCTCTACCTAAACCACTTCCATACCATGATAAACAACTTGTTTTCTATCTTAAAACTCTTTAAAAGAAAATATCAGTAGTATAATTTAAGTTCTCATTTTCTGTCTTAAAAACATCTGTTTTTCCTAAATTTGATGATGTAAGATTGCATAATGGAACTTTTACATATTTACAATTATTAATATATGACTCCATTTCAATTTTAAGTTTACAATAATCTTCTAATTATTATTTTATTGTATTAATATCCCATTAAAATTCTTTTCTAGATTCTCTATGAAGATTAGGAATACAAAAAGTAGGAATCTATATATTAATTATATTTTATATACTTTAAGACATAAAAATTATAATCCTTAACTTTATAGATAAGTTAATTCTTTATTACTTTTTAAGATACATAATTTCATTCCTTAACCACGAGTCTCAAAATTATTAGAAATATAATCAATAGCCAATTTATCATCTTTCCTAAAATATTAGATTTAATATATTTACATTACTTAAACAGTGATTTTATTTTTTTCATGGTATCCCATTTTATATTCTTTCCATAATTATTTCCTCTTGAATTCAAATTATTCTTAAACTGATTTAGTATATTGATTTAAATCTTAACGATTAAGTTTTTCTTCTGATTTTCTAACAATAATTATTAAGACTTCATCATTATAAAACACAGACCAAATTCCAAAATTATCTTATAATTATAAATGAAATATGATATATGAAAATTAATATAAAGAATTTTAGAATTTATCTAAATATTATTATTAATTAGGTTATTCTTTAACTATTTATAAATCTTCAAATTTAAATACATTTTTTTATTTTTAAACATATTATCTATTTACTTTACAAATTGCTCCTAATTCAGTTACTAATTTAAATATTAATGGTATTTTATGTTCATATAAACTTTCTGTATTTGGATTTGCTTCATATTAAAATAATTATTTATGTTCATTTTGAAATGAAGATTCATCCATTGTTAATTAATAAAGATAATGAACTTTTTTATCTCTTGGCAAACTTTTTTTAATTGTTTATTATTCAGGTTCTTTTGTTAATTGATTTGTATAAATAGTTCTATCAACTTAAATTTAAACATTTGTTAATGTACCATTCTCTAAAAGTATCCAAGTTAAAAATAAACCTGGTTCAACTTCATAAAATTATAATACTTACCAAACTGAATTAAATAATTATTATTTGTTAAATTTAATCATATTTTTTAAATTACCTCTTCCATTAATATTCTTATTTTATTATTTATTTCTAAATTCCTTAGTCCATATTTATTTTTAAGCTTTAAGGAAATTTTTAAAGTCTGTTTCCATATTATATGGATTATGTAATTACTTTGATATATCTTCATTAATTTAATGTTTCTTTTTATTAGATAACTACTTATTTTCTTCAATATCTATAGGTTAAAATTTTAATTCTGCTAATTGATGTGCCAATTTATTTATTTAACTGAAATATTTATTTATTTTTGTTTGCTATAATCCTGAAGCCTTCTCTCTTAATTTCTTTAATAACCATTCAGGAGGATCTACTTCAGGTATAGGATTTTCAATATTCTACAAAGCAGCTGGTATAACTAATAATTTTAAAATAGTATTCTTTAATCTTTCAATATAGTAATCCCAATCCACAATCTTACATAATGTTAAATCATCATCTTGTAATTATGGTTCCTTGAGCCATTTTCTTAAGTACTTCTTTCTAGTTTCAAAAGAAGATTCAAATATGAGTAAAGGAATTGATCTTTCATTAACTGGAGTATTATGAGGTAATTTTGTTATAATATATTAACAATTTAAACTTCCTCCTCTTATTTAATCAGACCCTAAATATTCAGCTATTCTTTTTCCTGCAGTTATTGCAACTCCTTTTTTATTATCATATTCAGATATTTCTTTTGAAAGTACTCTACTTTCACCAATTAAATCAAGTAACTCCTATTATGGTATTCCTTCTCCTCCTGTCATTAATATTTTTAACAATTTCTTTCCAACTTCAGCACAAGCCTGATAACATTCTGTTAAATTGGTACCTTTCAAAAATTCTGAAAATAAATCCTATTAAAATTATTTAATAATTTATAACTCTCCTCTTCTTTTAATTTCAAAACCTTTAATTTCAGCAATTGATCCATTTTTATTATACACTACATATCTCTTCTTCAATTATTTATTCTCTTCTCTAGCTGCAGGTATTATCATACATCTATATGGACCATCAACTTCAAAAAAGATTGACATTTCACTTTTAATACCATATTCCAATGTTTCTGGATTTATTAACCATTAATACTAATTGTTCTTATATTTTTCATAAACTAATTCATTTAATATGTAACATGGATAACTAAACTTCAAATTTCTACCACTCTAACATTTTATAATAAAATCTTCAGGAAATCCTGATGGTAACAAACACCAAATACCATCAGTATCTAATTCTAATGGTAATCCTATTTAATCAACTCTTTACTTTGCAGTTGATATTATCTATGAACCCATATGAGTGACAATACCAGCCATAGGCATAGAATACCAACGTGCACCTTTTCTCATTACATAACCATAAAAAGAATTCAAAATAATCTTATGTGCCAATTATAAGGATTCATATAATGCCATAAAATCATGACATTCTTTTACTCCTACACCATCTTTTTTAGCTTATTCTAATTTATTCTTATACACTTTTACTAACTCCTTAAATTCATATCTCCTATCTCTAAAATTTCTAACTGTTTATACATAAAAATCATTTTCTCTCATACAAACAGTATCTTTTCTTAATTCTACTGAATGTTAATGAATAGATTTATATGATTTTTTACAATGTTCTATAACTCTCTATTTAATTCTTTTTGCTTATTCATCAAGAGGCAAATCACTAAATCCTTTTAATTATAATTTTCTTATATCTTATCCTTCCTTTAATAATTATTTTTTTTTCTCTTCATAATCCGACCTTTCATTATCTGTCTATTCCTACTCCAATTATTATTTTACAAATTCAAATTCACTTCTTTTCAAAGGAAAAAAATCACCTTTCCATTACCATTCTAATTATCTTTAACATTTATTTTATGGTTAATTAAAAAAACATTATGAACAAGTACTTTCATCAACAATTGATACTGGTTATAAACGATTTGTTAATATAATATTAGGATACATTGCAGCAACATCTAAATGATATATTAATGGTTTTTCTTTGAATATTTCTCCTCTTTCTATTAATAAATCTAAACTTGATCTTATCTTTTCACTACACTTTTCTATTTCCTCTTCACTAAATGTTTCATTTTCAATCTTTCCTACAAATCTAATCAAACTATCAACACCACTCCACATTGATTACATACATTCCTTGTCAATCTTAAATTCTACATCAATATCACTTCTATATATTCCACTTCTTAAACATTCCACTTTACCACCAATATATGTTTCTGAATCTATTAAATGACCATTATGGAATTTCTCTAATGATGATGTAGTTTTATTTGGAAATATAATTTCTCTTTAAAATGCCTAAGCCATTAATAGACATTCACATAATGTACCTGATCCTTTTCTTAATACTTCATCAGGTGATAATGGAATAATTGTACAAAGTGCTAAAATAAAATCATGAATATGTTTTCTATATAACCAATATGTTGCAACTGAATCTGATATTGAATAACCTGCAAATTATTAACTATCCTATATAGCCATAGATACCATTTTTTCAGGATCTACTTCAATTGGTTAATATCCCAATTTAGCTTTTGTCACTGCTTTTAAACCATGACTTCCTTAAGGTAGATATGCATCTCTTTCAACCCATGCAAAACAATCCATATGAATAACATATCTACCATAATATTCATTATTTTCTTCATTTTTTTTAATTCCAATTTCTTATTCTAAATAGAATCCATGAGTTAAACATCTCTCTTCAATATATGGCCAATCAAAACGATCTCCATTAAATGATGATATAATTATTGGTTTATAATCTAAAATGACTTAAAAAAACTTAAGTAAAAGTGATTTCTCATCAGGTTCATTATAAATAATTGCTTAGGTTGCAAATTCAGGTTTTGGAGCATAATCAAAAGATTATACTTCTTATCCTAATGTTTGCATATTAGTAATCAGAATACTATTTTAACTATGAGTGATAGATATCATCATAATTTAATCATTTTTAGCATCTGGAAATTTAAGTGGTTATTTATATGTTTCAATATCAAAAGCAAGAAACTTTAATTCAGGCATACTAATCATTTCTTTAATTTCAATGCATTCTGCTATTCTTCTTTCTTTCAATACAAATTTGAACCATTTACAACATCTCAATCCAGTATCAATACATACTCTACAATGATATGGTACATCATATTCTCTTACTCCAATTAATTAATCTAAGATATCTTTTGTTGTTGAAGGTTTATTAATTAATAATTCATTTTCAGTGAAATTTCTACGATTCTTATCACTTCTAGCCTTTAATTGATTTCTAACTTAAACTAAGTCTTAAATTAATCTAAATTATAATTTAATGAATTTCTCTTTTCCTCCTATTATATGTTATACTTTATCCAAATCTACCCTTTCAATAATGTCAACTTTTAGAATTTATTTTTCATATTTATTTTCTAAATGCATAGCCAATTCATTTATATGTTCTTAATTACATTCAACATAGAAATAAGGAGGAATATCATACATCAATTTAAGAAACTCCCCTAAAATAATATATTATAGTACCATTTTAAGTAATCACATAAACTAATAATGCAGTGAATTCTTTTTCGCTCTCATCATAAGTACTTATAACTTTCATATTTGCTACCCATGCCTACAATTCCTTTTGATTCCTAACCCATTCTACATTAAATCTCAATTCGATTTCATCTAACTAATTCTGCTTTTGTTTCCGCATATTTAATTAATATTTGGCGGTATGTATATTTATATAAATATCTCATTATTCTTGAACTGAATTTTTTATAGTTTTAAATAATTGAGTCGCCTCCAGAATTGATGAAAACTCTAAGCAAAACCCTTATAATTCTACATAAATCTTCTTTGGATCAAATGTTTTCTACTTAATCAAAGTTCTAATAAATACTGAAACCAATCTCACTTATCGAGCCAATTGTTAAGGTTGATTCTATATATATATTAATCATTATAATCTTACATTCTTTAATTCTTCACAATTTACTATACATTTTGTTATGAACATATTAAGAAATTGATCTGGTAGACTTATACTCTTTGATAATTAATTGACTAATTCTAAGGCTTGAATACTTATCTTTATCTAAATTAACTAGTCTAAATATCTAAGTAATCATTTTCAATTATATACTCATGAGCATTTACACCTAATTAATATAATTTCTTAATCAAATCACTAACTAATTATGGATTCTATTCAACCAAAAGTTTAAATTGATTTCCATCAATCTTATATTCTGGTTTGAATAGAGTCAATATTTGTTGATGATCTCCTTATTACAATTTTGTACACTAAGCTTAACACAGTAAATAGCGAAACCTCATCAAAGGAGTTACATTGTAATCCCAAATTGTTAAATGAATTAAATCTAAAGAAATATCTTCAAAACTTTAATGAGGAACTATTATAGGAATTGGTCTCATAAATTCACAAGAAAATTATATCTAATTCATTTTCAACAAATCTGTTTATTTCAGTATTTGCTCTAATGATTACCCATACTCTATCATAATGTATTTTGAATACATATTTGATATTATTAGTTATATTAATCTCCAATTAGTTGATGCATAAATCAGATAAGCATAAATTCTAATCCCATTGTCTAATATTGTATAAGAATTATAATCTAATATGAGGTGCTTATTTCTAATTATATTAATTTTCAAATTACTTGATCTAATAAACTATTCATCATCTGATTAAACATTTCAATTTTACATTGTTCCTTAATCATTATATAATTCTCATCTAGGGTTTTTTTCATCTCAACAGGGATTTTTCCTATGACTTGCATTAAGACTTTATCAATTATTTAATATTATGATTTTCTTTTACTAAATTTCTTTCATCTTTTATATAATTATAATACACACATTCATAATATGAGAATACAAATGAATCTCAAAGTAAATTAAGAATGCTCATAATTTATATGTATGTTAAAATTATTTAATCTTATAATGATACATATTGATATTTTTTATATTAACGGATGAAGGAACATAAGGATGAAATTTATTAAGGAGGATTCAATGCAAAATAACAAAAACATGGGCTTGGAATATACTTATGGGATGTAGGTTCTGCCTATTATGGAGAGTGGAAAAACGATTTGATTGATGGATAGGGAATCTTGTTCTTAGGTGGATAGATCATCATTTAAGGAGGTTTCAGTAAAGGAGCTGCACATGGATATATTGTAATCAAGGTTGGAACTAGAGTGTTTTATAGTTAATTTGATAAAGGAGAGGCTATTTTCATTTAAGAAGGAGAAAAAAAAATCACTATACAATCATCAAGTGCTTATATAACTCATGATTGTACACATGAAGCTGATTGTATATTATAGGGAATAAGTAAACTACAAAAAGGAGATTTATAAATATAGTTGTTTAATCATTGTATCTATTATGGAAATGTTGGAAAGGCAAATTTACCTAATGGTTTGGGAATAGAGATTTCAAATTTGTTTTATTAATGTGGATAATTTGTGGAGGGTAAATTGAATGGTTTGGGTCGTTTAGATTAATAAGATGAGATTTATTAGGGCTAATTCCAAAAAGGTATATATCATGGAAATGGGTTGATGGTATTCAAAGATTAACGAATTTAATGGGTCAAAGGGATATATAATCATGGACAGTTAGTGGAGATTAAGAGCAGTGGTTATCTAGACTAAATGGAAACTCCACAAGAATTAGTTTGTAATTCATCATTATTATATCTTTGTTAGTTAAATTTTGTAAGAAAGCTAATTAATAATATATAGTAACTCCTATATCAAAGGAGATTATATTGGGATATATTAGATTATTTGAAGTGATGCAATTCGTTAGACTTCGAGTGAACACTTTAACTGAAATCAAGTACTAATAATAGCCTTCTGTGAGGAAATATAGTACAAATACCAATAATCTAAGTAAATCTGTAGAAGAAATAAGGAAATTGTAAAGTTAATTTAATACAAGAAATCTTGATTAACAAAATTAGATATATGAATTCATATTGGATTAGCACGATGAAAATTAGACATATAGAAAGACTGATACTTAATAATCAAGAACTAAAACATAACCTACAGAAGAATATTTTGAAAATAAGATTTCATTTGGTTTATTAGAAATTCCAAATCTAAAAAATTCTAGAAAAACATTAGGTTAGTAAAATGAAGAATAAAATTTATAAATCAAGAAAAATAATGATTATATTTAGTAGAGATCATAATCCTAATTTGAGGTTAAATAATACTAATAATAATACTAATAATAATAATAATAATAATAATAATAATAATAATAATAATAATAATAATAATAATAATAATAATAATAATAATAATAATAATAATAATAATAATAATAATAATAATAATAATAATAATAATAATAATAATAATAATAATAATAATAATAATAATAATAATAATAATAATAATAATAATAATAATAATAATAATAATAATAATAATAATAATAATAATAATAATAATAATAATAATAATAATAATAATAATAATAATAATAATAATAATAATAATAATAATAATAATAATAATAATAATAATAATAATAATAATAATAATAATAATAATAATAATAATAATAATAATAATAATAATAATAATAATAATAATAATAATAATAATAATAATAATAATAATAATAATAATAATAATAATAATAATAATAATAATAATAATAATAATAATAATAATAATAATAATAATAATAATAATAATAATAATAATAATAATAATAATAATAATAATAATAATAATAATAATAATAATAATAATAATAATAATAATAATAATAATAATAATAATAATAATAATAATAATAATAATAATAATAATAATAATAATAATAATAATAATAATAATAATAATAATAATAATAATAATAATAATAATAATAATAATAATAATAATAATAATAATAATAATAATAATAATAATAATAAACTAATGATCGTATGTTAACTTTAAAGAATATTTTAGAAGCATAATAATAAAAATATAATTCTGATTTCAAACAAAAGAAAACAGTTTTTAATGATATCTAATCAACTACTGCTTAAAAAACTTAATAAATTTTATAACAAAATAATAAAAATTTATAATGCTTAAGTGAGGTTGTTCAAAGAGAAATAAATAGATCTCCTCCTAGTGAAGAAAGACGATCTACTATCAAGCCTCTTTATGTTTAGAATGAAGAAAATGAATAAAAATATTAAAGTTCTCAAAAAACTTTACCAAGTAAATTCAATATGGATTAAATTAATATTTAAAATAATCATAAAAATAAAACTAATAGTTTGCTTAATAAATTCAACAGTATAAAAATTAAACCAAACATTAAATAAGAAACTTAAAACTTTGGATTTTCAACAAAATCACTGAGTTCAAAATAATCTATACAAAAAGTTTAAGATACAAATGATTTACCATTAGGAAACATCTAAAACTATATCTCTTTAGTTTCGCATAAAAATAATACTTAAGAAAGGAATCTACAAAATTCATTCGAAAAATAATAATAAAAAAAAATGGATGATTCAAATTACCATTCATGTAATGGTAATTGTACTTAAATCTAATCAGAAGATCCAAATATTAAGTATATCTAAGAAATTAAATAAGAATTAGCTGAATAAAAATAAATGCTTACTTAATTATTCTAATCTCTTTAATAAAAATAGCCTTAAATTAATAAATAATACTTTAAAAGATTACCTAATACCCCTCAAAGGAATATTCAAATATAATAATAACCTAAATAAGTTTATGTTTATCCAACATTCACACTTGTTAAATCAGTCTCTCCAATGAGACTTTGATCTATACTTTTATATTATAAAATTATATTTCATTAATTCTACTTTTATTAATTTTATTAAATGTCAATCACTGTCTCTTCCTGTCAATAAATTAGTCAATCACCTCTCAATCTAAGTACTGCCAAATAACTCTGGTCTTTCCCAAAAAGTAGTCGCTTTGGCAAATTAGAAAATCCAAATAAGTAATTGTGCTTTTAAACATTAGTTGCGCAGTTGCATTTTATGATCTTCCAGATCAAAAAGAAAAGAGAGCTGCAGGGGTAGGTTATTCAACTAAGTATAATAAAATCAAATATATTCTAGATATGATTTTACAAGAAATGGACCAAAGACTCCTGCTCCTGATGCATATAAGATAGTTGGAGAATTAGATATCAATAAATCAAAGAATCGTGGATTCCCTTTTGGAGTGAGTAGAGATGTAAAACGAAATTGTTATTTCTAGAAAATGTGGTAAAGTGGAATTATGGGAGGATTGAATAAAGTAACCCCAGGACCAGGAAAGTATGAGAGTTAATCAACTCTCAGTTCAACAAGATATACAATGCGACCAAAAAATTCATAAGATATCATGATACTGACAAAAAATGTTCCAGGTTAATTATTTATTTATAATGCAGGACCGGGAGCTTATAATTCTGTTTAAGGAATAGATTCTAAAGGAAAATATCCAATTTCTAAATTTACAAATAGTTGTGCTACTCTATTTAATCCCCCTAGATCTAAGAGATTTGACGATAAATAATGTAAATAAAAAAATTCTATTAATTAAAGATAGTAATGATGTTCCAGGACCAGGAAATTATAAATTAGATAATATAGGAATACAAAAGGTAATTTTTTAATCTTAATTTTAATAGACTGGATTTTATCCTATATCTAATTTACATTCTAGTAAATGTAGAAGTTTTCCTCATGATATCCGTAAAACTTATTCAGTATCAAGTATGCAAACTCCTGGACCTGGATAATATAGACTACCTTCAGATTTTGGATATTATGAATCAAAATCAGTATCTAGAAGTTGATGATATTATATAATTTTTGTATAATCATTAAGTGACTTATTATTTTAATATTAATAATTGTAATTATATGAATTTAATAATATAATTATATAATTATTGTAAATATATATTATTATTAAAATATGATTAGGTGAATAAGAATTAATTTTTTGATAATAAATATATGTGTAGAATAAGAATATTATTTAATTTATCATAAAATTTCATCATCGAAATTATTATTTCTATAAAGTTTTCTTTCAAAACTATCTAACATGTTATTTACAAGTTACAAATCTTTTTATTCATTTTTAGATTATTCATTAGTAATATTGTTATTGCATTTTATTTATATTCTTTTTTTTGGAATCATTGATTATTTATGTCTTATAAAATGAATTGAAGTTTCCTTTAACAATGTACTATTAACTTTTAAGGTTTTACTGAAATTACTTTCAGCTTATTCAACTGCCTATGCTAATAATAAGCCTTTATATTCAGTTCTATCTAATGGATGTTTATAAGAAAGAGTAGATACAGATTTTGATTTTTAGCTTTAAATAATTATTATTTAATACGTATTAACTAGAAAAATTGGAGTTGTTTAATTTTGAGTAAGATTATTAGGCTATTCATTTTTTATAGTTTATCCAGCATTGAAAGAAATGGAATTAAAATCCTATTAATAATAATTATTATTACACTTCCAACTGTATATGGTCTGCTTGTTTGATTGAATTAAGCAGAATTGATAATTTAATTTTTTAATTATTGAATAGTTTAAGATTATTATTAATGTTCTAATTATTATAAAGTAGATTCAATAACATCTTTAGTTTATCTAAAATTAGTTTAAGCAGTGGCTACTCTTTAAAAACTTAATCTAGAAGGTTGAATTCCACTTCTTTACTCTATTTCAAGATTTGTCATTCTTCTACGAGTATTTAATTATTTAATATGTTCCATATTTTATAATCTTAATTCTTCTTTAATTTATTAAATTTCTAAATCTTTTTATATTTTTTCATTTATTGCTTTAACTCCTTATTCTTCCATTTACAAAATTTTTGGATTGATAAGTAAATTAACATATTTTTAAGATTGTTAATTCAATTTATTCCATAAATGATCTGGTCGACCTAATAATGCTGTTCTTGAAAGTATTGGTTTAATAGCAATAGTATCTACTTATACATCATTACGTTATGAACTTAAATTTTATAAACTTCCTCTTTCTAATTTTCTTTATTATAATCTAATTAGATCCTCTTCTCTTGCCATATTATAGTATATTATTTTATTGTGTTGTAACTCTTATTTCTCTTTATATTCCATTTCTTATAATTTCTTAATTCTCTTCTCTCCTTTGTCATGTTATTCTTTTAATTATTTAAATACCTTTGCATTTGATTTAGCTTGATGTGGATTATTCCAAATATGTGTATTATCATTATAATAGTCATGAGTTTTCTTTTATGGTTAATTTATAGGAACTGTTTGATATCTAGAATAAGAAAGTCAATACTCTGGTAATTTAGTCTATAAATTATATTTATCTATCTCTTTTTTTGGATAAGATGGATGATTAGTTATCATTTATAAATAATAATCAAATTTACAAAATCATATATATTCACAATTAGTTTAAAAATAATTGTATCCTTTTAATTTTAGAATAAACTAAATTAATTCAAATATAATTCAATTTCATTAAAGAAATAATTTCTAAATCTTATTTTGTTTTTTAAGTTTTTATAATATGAAAAACTTTAATTTTAATAATTTTTCAAAATAAACAAACTAATACATAAATGGACTAACCATAATTAATTCTTTCAACGAAATAAAACCTTTTGGATCTATAAGCATAAGTTAATTAATAAATCAAAGATCATTGCCATTAATTGAAATTGATTGATTAGAGTAATGAAAAAGTTATAGAAAAACTCTTAAAACAATCAGAAAAACTTTAAATGTTAGTTAGTAAATTGGATTACTATCAAATATAACCTTAAGTGAGTTACTTAGATTTAATTCTGAAACATCAGTACAAATACGAATTAAAATTATCTGAAGATTTAGAATTGCCATGCTACAGAAATCGAATATTCTCGATTCGATTTAATCTCATGTATCAAAACTAAATATTTATTAATTAAAACAAAATCATTGTGGAGCTTGAGATGTATTATAATTTAATAAATTTTAAGTTGGACATATGATGAATTACCAAAAAAGGTATCGCACAATAACTAAGGAGAATCAATTTATAAAGGCTGTTAATAAGCATTTATTAAAGAAGGATAAGGACGCCTCAACAAAATTTAGATTAAAGAAGTGTCCTCGCATTTTCCACGAGGTTAATTCGTATTGATAATTGTACCAGTAAATGATCATGGTGTAATTGGGAATTAAAAGTAAATTTTTAATATTAAATGAAAAATAGATTAGGTCAGATTAAAAAAGAGTGGATAAAGCCATTAGTCTTAAATGAATTTGTTGTTAAGGCAAAAAGATTTTCTAATCGTCATATTCCTTATTATATTCGCAAGGATGGAACTGTTAGCATGAAACCTATATGATTTATTATAAAATCATTAATAGTTATTTAAATAAAGCTTTAAAAAAGATTAATTCAATGAAAATATGTATAAATAAGTATTATATCTTCAATCATTTAATTCTATTTTTCATTATATTTATTCATTTAAGATTTTTTAACCAATTTCCCTTAGTCTTCGAGCAGCAAATTTATAAACATCATTTATTCCAACTTTTTATTATAGTATTTCTGCAAAAATAACCATAAATATCTTTTCTAATCCTGTTTATTTCAAATATTCTTTTAATCTTTCAGAATCTATTTAATTTTCAATTTGAGTTTTAATTATTTAAATACTTAAAACCCCAACTACAATTTATTCATGTATAATCTTAATTTCATTAATTTGTTTAGTAAATAGAGTTTCTAATAATTGATTTGAGAAACCTAATTATTTACCATCATTAAGTAATAAGATTTATAAAATTTAATCTTATTAATCATAATTGAGTTTATAAATCTATCTGTCTTCAATATTTTCAATTGTTGTTACTTATTTTATTTCATTTTGGTTTGATATAATTGCTAATTATATTTGAATATTTTATTCATCTAACAAATTCAACTTCACTTATCTCAATTAGATCTCTATCTGATCCTACTTTATTGAATTTTCAGAAGTGGCAATTTCATTTATCATAAATATTATTGTTATTATAATGTAATTGTTTTTTTTTTCAATATTTTCTATGTGGTTCTTTAGTAGTAACAATCTTAGGGGCTAACACTTAAGTAACAGGTTTGACTAATTCTTTAGATTAAATGAACTATTTATTTTAAGAAGTGGTTCTCTTTTTCTCAACTGATAACTATTATGAAACTTTACTAGTCTATTATTGAGGTCTTCTTTATCCTGATTATAATTATTGTGTATTAGAATTGAAATGATGACTATTAGTATTTCCAATCTTCTTATCTGATTCAATACCATTTGATCTAATTCCTTATTATTATTATTATTATTATTATTATTATTATAATGGCTATGTCATTATCATCAATTTATTTTCTGATTAGATATCTTATTATGTCTTAACTAATTATTCATCTTTGATCCATTCAAATTTATAGTCCCATTCAAAACCTATCTTCTTAAAAGCATCCTTAAATACTTACAATTTTATACTTTAAAAAGACCTCTCAAATAATTATAATCTGGTTTGTCTTCAAACTTTAAATTCTTACAATAATTCAAATATTAACTCATTTCTATTGGAAATCCTTTACAAAGTTAATCTGGAGATGTTTCAAGTTTCTTTTCCATAATTCTTTAATATTTATCTTTTTGATTATTAGCTTTCATATTTTGCCAAGGTAATTGACCTCTAAGCAAATACATAAGCACATATCCTAATGATTCTAAATCATCTCTTCTTGATTATTCCAAACCTAAATGAGTATTTACAGAAGCATATCTAGCAGTTCCAGTTAAACTTTTCCCTTCTCTATAAGGAATATGACCCTCCTTTGTTAAATATCTTTTTGCCAATCCAAAATCAAGAATATAAACACGTGTAGCCTTCTTACCTAAACCAATTAGAAAATTGTCTGGTTTAATATCACGATGTAGAAACTATTTAGTATGAATATATTCAATTCGTTAAATCATTTGATCACCCAACATAAGTACCTAAATGATAGATGGTATCAATTACAGTCTTGAGGGATAGTCTTTTGTTATTTTTACTGAATAATTCTTCCAAACTTTGGCCCAGTAAATCCATGACGATGTAATTATAATCACCGTCTTAGCCTTAAGCATATATTCTAGGAATTCCTGGCTTTGAGTTAATAATTCAAATACCTTTATCACTAGGATCAGATCCTTATAAGTAATTGTACAACTTAGTCTCAAAAAATATTTATGGATGTTTAGTATCACTTCTTTCTAATTTCATGGCATATTCTTCTTTTCCTTTAGCTACTAAATAAATTTCTCCAAAAGCACCACTTCCAATTCTTTTTATTAATTTATAAACCTTTCCAATCACTTAATTTGTGAGATCTTTACCAATTGGTGTGTCCATTTCTTAATTATATATAATAAATAACTAATATATAAATTTTACTAAAATCCCTTAATAAATATTTATATTTATTATCATATATACTTTAACAAAATCAAATTAGACAAAAAGAACAAATTATAATAAATATTCCTATCTATAAAATTATATATTAAGTATAAATAAAAAATTTAAGAAAAATGAAGGAAAGTGATTATATAGAGAGTATTTTTTGTATACTGAATATCTTCTATTATATTTTGTATATTAAGATTTGAAATTAACTATTATTCGATATAATAATTTTATGTTTACATTAGAATTTAAAAATATATATTAAACAGTTAATGGATAAATCTGTTTTATTGGAAATGCAACTTAAAGAAGCGCTAGATAGAGAGACAAATTTAAAAAAACTAAATGAGTCATTAATGAAAGCAATGGGAGATATATCTAACCATGAAAAAGGAAAAGAAATACAATTATTAAATTAACTACATGAGTAAGAAATATCAAAATTGAAGACTATTTTACATGAAAAAATTACTATTTTAGAATATGAAGTAAATTTATATTCATATTTAGTATCGAAATAAATGTTAAGAATTCAATAAATTAGAAAAAAAATACAACCAATTAATTCAAGATTATGAAGAATTAGAAAATAAAGAAAAGTATAAATATATTTTAATATATTATAGAAAATGTTATAAATGTAATGACTTTTAACTATAAATTACTTAAATTTAAAAATAGAATGAAATTTAGAAAGAAGGGTTGGCTAGAGAATTTTCAGAAGCATTAAGCAATTAAAAATCAATATTAGAATATGTAATAAATATATAGATATATTATAAGGATTATAATTGTGTTAAATTAAAACTTAAATAAGTAACCTTTGAATTAGATTAAGAATTGAAAGAAAAAGAAAAGTTATAAAAAAATATCTAAGAATTATGTTAATCACATGAATAAGCAGTATTTCTTAAAAATAAATTAGTAAAGAAGCTTATTATAATAAATTGCAGATCTCAATAGAGTACATAATGAAACTATCATACAAAATAATTAATATTAAATATCTACTTAAACAAGAGAATAAACATAATCATCAAAAATATGTTAATTAGAATAGGATAAAATAATATTAGAAAAAAATATATAAGAATATAAGTAATCATTAATTATATCAAATTTAGAGATTAAATTTCTAAATTGGAAAATCAACTTAAATAATTAGATTTATCATTAAAAGAAAAAGAAAATAAATTAATTGAATAAAAATTTGAATTATCAAAAAAATTAACAAATGAAAAGAAAATTGCTGAACAATGTTAAGCAGTTGCTTTGAAATTAAAAAATGATTTTTAAAGAAAATAATCAATACTTATTGAAGAATCATTAAAAAAAGAATAATAATTAAAATCAGTTTAAACTTAATTAACAAGATAAAAAAGCAAAAATAAATATTATGAAAATGCTCTTAGTTAAGTTAATTTATTGGAAATTAAAAATTCAACTCCTAAATAAATTAAACATAAAAAAAACAATTTCTCGAATGATTTTCATAATTCACATTAACCTGGACATACTAAAGTATTTTTAATTTTATTTTTAGAATGCTCTAAGTTAAGGTCATGTCAATAAAATTAAAATATTGCCATCCTCTATATAAAAAAGTGAAGCTGATTCTATTCATTTTAATTTAACTGATATGTTAAATTCTACAAGAAATCCAGATCAATAAAATCTATCATGTAGATAATCAAATGAAGATATAGGATCTCATATAGAATAATTCAATTGTCCTGCAAAATTTGTACTTATATTATTATTATTATTATTATTATTATTAGGTTTAAACTAATGAAGATTCAGTTATACCAATTTAGTAATTGACAGATAGATAATTATCCCCAAGAACAAGAAGTATTTTCTTATTAATATCAATAGTTTAAACAGTTAATCCAAAAGGACCACCTTAAAGA